GGGGAGCGCGACATCCCCTCGCTCTCCTCGAGCAGGGACCGACCGTCCTGGCATTCCTATACCTACCACGGAAGTTCTTCAGAACCCCCAATTGTTCTAAGAACCAAACGGTGATCTTAGAACATGAGCCCGATGTGCTAAGACAACACAAGATCAGCCAGAAATGTTATAAGAACATATCGTGCAGACCACAAAAGATTCTTGAACATTGTTTAGTGGGCATATCAGCAAGCCAGGACACTTCGCCACTGCTCGATCTCCGTGGAAGGCGCGGAAATCAAAGGTCTCGCAGCCTCGGGCCAAGGATGGCCAACCCGGGGCCGGCCTTCCTCGGGGCCGAGGATGCGATCCGCCGCTTTGAGGGAGATCGCGATGGCCTCCTCGCGGGCCGTGGGCAGAGGTGCCGACGCAGATGCGAGGGAGGCAGAGGACGAGGCTGGGAGACGGGCGCGCGCACGCGCAAGAAATTGCTGCAAGGCCGAGGGCGCGCACTCGCTGCGCTCCAGCCTCGTTCTCGCAGCGTCGGTGGCCACGCGTGCGAGGCAATCCACACGCTGCCAGCCTGTCGGGCGGCGCTGGATGCGGTGGCGGCCGCGCACCACCTGCGCGGGGCGACGGCACCGCCTGGGCGGCACGTGCGCTGGACCAACGAACGTTGCTCATCGGACAGCGCGTCCCTGGCGGCCTGTTGCCAGGCCAGCACCGAGGCATCCTCGCGTGCGTCCACGCGCTTGACCTTGAACAGGTCCGCCAGGGTGTCGGCCAGCTTGTGCTCTAGCGCCTCGATCTTGTCGAACCAGTCCGCCCGTGCACCGCCCAGGAAGTCAATGACGTCCAGATCGTCGTGATTCGCGTAGACGTCGAACGCGAAGTGCGCGGAGCACCATGAGGCCGAAGGCCTGGGCTGTTCATGCCTCACGTGGAAGGCCTGTCGCCAAGTGTCGGCGTAATTACTGGTCCGCCGCGCTGGCGAGATGCTGGTCCTGGGCCTCGACCTCGTCGCGAGCGCCGCCAAGTTAGTGACCAGGAGGTGCATGTAGGGCGTGAGCCGCAGCGCCTGCAAGAACGCCCAACGCTCTGCTGGATGCCGTAGGCGGCGCGCGCCTGGCAAGATGCCGTAGGCGGCGCGCGCTGGAACATCCCTCCTCGCCTAGGTGGACGAGAGACCTAGCAAATCGCGGGGGTTGGAAAATCGACGGGTCGAAACCCGAGCCGTCCGCGTACGTGATGGTCGTCTGCCCGACAACAAGCGAAGACCAGTCGCCCCAGAAGTGGCACGCACCGTGCGCCGGCGGCGGCGGCACCTGATACTGGAGGATCGGCATGCCGACGACTAGGTCGAAGCGGTTGTAATCGGCGTCGGCCACGCCAAAATGACACTGGGCTTGCACCCGATGCTTGGTCCGCAGCTGCTGCCCTGACACCGCGGCGAGGGGGGCGTCGTCGCCACTGTCGCCGATCTCGGCAACGCGTGGGCACTCGTAGAACCAATGTGCGAGGCGGGGATTTATGAATATCCATCGCCTGGGAACCAACGCCCTGAAGCCCCAGCGAGCGGTGGATGTGGATACATTTTGCCCCCCCGGGGCCGGAATATGTCCATATCCACCGCCTGCCGAGGTCCCCGAAAATTGATCCTCCAGGCGGTGGTCATGTATAAATTCCCGCCTCGGACAATACCTCTCCCCCCCTAGCGGCGCCGTCGGGGCAGAACGGGCAGGCGGGGCTGCTGATATCATTAGCCCTTCTCGAGCCGCCTCGCCGCGTCCCAGGCGGCACCGCCCAGAGGTTCCTGAGCTGTCCAGCCCTGGCTCTTCGCAAGAGGAAGAGGAGGAGGAGGAGGAGGAGGAGGAGGAGGAGGAGGAGGAAGAGAGGAGAAGGAGGAGGAAGAGGAGGAGGAGGAGAGGAGGAAGCTTGAAGAGGAGGAAGAGGAGGAGGAGGACGAGGAAGCGGAACAGCAACGCACCTCGGGCACGAGTCGCAGCGGCACCTCCGCTCGAGCCGCGTGCAGAGTCGAGGGGCGAGTCGAAAGCGGCTGCCACAGGGGGGTGCATCGGAGGGGGCCGGGGAGTCATGGAAGCCTGAGGCAGGGAATCCAATCGGTTCGATCTGAACCAGGGCCAAGAAGCCACCTCGCGATGTCTCGTGCGGGGGGCCGCGCCTGAGGGGATCTAAGATGGCCTCCGCCCTTGCTCCAGAGAGCAGCGTGAGGGTGATACTGCTTTGGCCCCTGCGAGACGGTGCCCCTGGCCCCTCCAGACGGAAGAAGGGAGGGCAATGATTCTAGATACCCTTTCCTGGCGACGACTCGAGCCTGTACCGCGTGTGACTTCGCTGCGGGCGGCAACTGCCAGAGCAGCTCCCCTTCCGAACTACCTCCGTCAGATGCTGATGGGTTTGACCGTGGCATCTTCGGTTGGGTTTGAAACGGAATGGCCGAGGATCAAACTTTCGAGGGCGGACAGCCATCATCAGAGATCCCTTTGGGGCCAAACCGATGGGCGACGAGCTGCCACGTGCCCGCCGAGAGAGGAGGCAGCCGCAGCCTCTGCCGGCGCCCCGCGCGCCTGTGCTCTCGCCACAGAGCGTGCGCTCGCCCCCTGCCCGGGCATCCGACCGCCGGGGCGCCGCACAGCTCTCGGGAATGGACGGACGGAACCCGTGTTTGTTGAATACTCGCGATCACGCCCACGTCTGGCCCCGCCCCCCCCCCCCCTCCCTCCCTTCCCCCCTGTGGTCACGTCACGGTTCGCGCCACCGCCGTCTGGGAACGAGCCATCCCTAAGCACTTCAAGACGGCGGCGCGAATCTTGGCTTGACCGGCCCCCTCCCCGCCCCATGCCACCCCGAAGTCACGCCCTGCATCGCCAGGGGATACAAACCGGCCTCATGGAGGATCACGGATGCGGAGAGTTGACGTTCTTTCGACTCGGGCAAGCAATGCGCCCCTACTCCAAACGGCAGGTCGACCCAGAGCAACCAGACAGAGAGCAGAGGAGAGGAAGGAGGACCGCGACGAGGAACGTATCCCGACAGGGTAGTCCCAGAACGCGAACAGACCAAACCGACCCGCACACACACACACACACACACAACACACACAACACACACAACACACACAACACAAAAAACACACACAACACACACACACATTCACATTCACATTCACATTCACATTCACATTCACATTCACATTCACATTCACATTCACATTCACATTCACATTCACATTCACACACACACAACACACACAACACACACAACACACACAACACACACAACACACACAAACACACACACACACACGCACACACACACAGCGCGGACGATCGCCAGTTGCGGGAAGGCGGGGAGGGGGCGAGGCGGAGGTTCGAGGGTCGAGTGTCAGGGTTTCGAGAATATCAGGGATGGGGGACGGGTGGAGGGAGTGCCGAGGCGAAGGTTAGAGGGTCGAGAATGAAGTTTTCGAGTGAATGGAAGGTCGGGGATGGGGGACGCAGGAAGGATCGACGCGGAGGATGGAAGATCGAGCATCAAGACCTCGAGGATGGATGGAAGATGGGGGAAGAAAGAATATCAGACCGAGAAACGATACCGATACCGCCACCCGTCACTCGTCGCCACAGCTGGATTCCCCTCAAAATCCTGTACAGAATTCGCCTGGGGGTAGCGGTATCGGTATCCTTCTGTCTTACTAAGGATCGAGGCGGAAGATGCAGGGTCGAGAATCGAGGCGGAGTTCGGAGGAGGAAAAATGGATGGCGCGACTCGGCGACCGTCGCGAAGGAAGAATGGAGGGCGAGGAGGAAGGAAGGATCGAGGAGGCGGATCGACGATCGAACTCTGATGTTGAGAAACCGCGACTTCCGCCGATTTCGGCTCCTGGGACAGTCGGAGACCTGCCCACAATAGAAAGACCAGCCGGGATGGAGCCCGGGGGGAAACAGGCGACCCGTTCTGAGTGAACGTTGGTCGGATCCTGGATCGAAGATCCACGGTTCCGACGCGTTTGGCAATCATTGGGCCTGAGGAAGCCTTCGGAGGGAGAAGTCATGCTTGTTGGGTTAGAGTGGGGCTTACGCGACTGCATGCCTGTCTGGTCGCAAAGGGGCACAGACGCGCGGCAAACAACATTGAAGGGGAATTGACAGAGGAAGCAGGTCACTCTTGCTGGGACCTGGGTCAACAATCCAGCGTCGAGGTGCCTGACAAGTGAGGTCAGGAGAAGGAGGAAAAATAAACAGAAGGGGAGGGGGCAAGCTTGTCAGCTATACCGAGGCCCTCTTAACTGCTCCAGGGCCCTACCTAGGACTGCTGGGCAGATTGCCGCACAGAATACAGTGAAACAATCACAACAAGGGCTGTGGAGGTTGCCTCCCATACTGAGGGAACGGAAATGAAAAGCCGAAGACTAGTCAAGGGAGGCATGCTGGCCTGGGAGGCTCTAGCAGCAGGACTTTGGCTGCTGGGCAGCTGCGATATCCCCTTGAGGCATGCTGGTGGCACGGCCTGGGGAGGGAGGGAGGACAGAGGAGAGGGGGCGGGCAGAAGAGGGACATTAGCCCTTCCTCTGCGCGGATGTGGCCCGAACCTCCCCATTGTCCTGACAGAGAAGAACCACGCAGGTCGTCGTCATCTTCCTGTTCCTCCGCGTGCAGCCGCCGTGGTGCGCCAACGGCAGCACGGCTAGTTGTCGGGGTCGAGGTCGTTTTTCCTCCCGTTGAAGCTGGGGAGTGTTGAGCGAAGCTCCTGTGGCCCCCTCCTTCCAGAGATTGAGCAGGGACCGACCGTCCCGGCATTTCTATATGCCTACCACGAGATTTTCTCAGAACCTAGAACATTTAAATAACAACAACAATGTTCTTAGAACATCGACCCGATGTGTTCTAAGACCATTTCGTGGAAGTCACAAAAGGTTATTAGAACTGTTTGTGGTAGGCCTATAGGCGAGCCAGCACGCTTCGCCACTGCTTGAAGAGAGAAGCAGCACGCGTCGTCGCCATCTTCATTTTGTTCTTCGGCGTCCGGTCGCCGTGGCGCATCACCGCCAGCACGGCCAGGAGCTCCTTGGGGCCGCGGCGGGGCGGGGGTTCCCAAAACGGTGCGGCGACAGGCCGTGCGGTGACCTCAGCATCCCCATAGACCTCACCACACGGTCCATCACCGCACCGTAAACATCGTGGGAGAACGAGACGAAGCCCTAGTCGCCCGAGGCGTCGTAGGAGAACGGCCCGAGTCCAAGGACTGTGCGGCCACCCCGAAGCCCAGGACTGTGCGGTCACCCCGAAGCTCCGAAGACCCCGAAGCCCCGGCCGGGGTGGTGAGTCTCACCACCCCGGCCTTCATCCGAATGTCTGGCTTTCGAGCCATACCCCAGGTCTCCGGCGGCCGTCCTGGACGACCCGGGAACCTGGAACGCTCTCGGCGAGGACCAGCTGCTGGAACGCATCACGAGGCAGGACGACCCACTTTGACCGACCAAAACATCCGAGAACCCAGAATCTCTACGGCAGGTTCGTGCCGTGTCGACCCCGGCGTTGGTTCCTGACACCGCGGGGAGCATTCAACCTTGAAAGATTGGCCCTTTCCGGAACTTCCGATCGTTCAACATCGACCGACTCTGGGTCGCCAGCGGCATTCAATGTTGAACGCTGGCGGCGGAGTCGCCGCCAGTCGACACGACGCGAACCTACCGTAGGGCAGCTACCTTCGCACTTCGCGCTCCGCGGGGCGCGATCATCTTCGCGCTGTCTCACAGGGGGTCGGGGCTCGAGGACTGCTCGGCGAGGCGGCCCGAGCATCGAGGAGGACAGTAGGAGAAGGAGGAGCAGGAGGAGGAGGAGGAGGAGGAGGGGGAGGAGGAATCGGGTCGTCCTCCCTCGTCGTCCTCCGTTCTCCCTATGTTGCTTCCTCGTTCTGGGGCAGGATTGGCCTGACTTGAAAACATGTGTCCTGAAGAAGACGTGCCCTGGACTCCGGGGCTTTTCGCCAAGACATGCCTTTCGTCCCGAGTCGTTTCCAGACGGCCGAGGTACCGAGAACAGCGAACCAACTCCCACACCCGTGTCGATCTGGGCCCCTTTCCGTCGCAGCCAGACGAGACTTGGGGTGGCTCTCGGGCCAGAACTCGGGCCTCCAGAGGCCGTCCAGAAATGTTCGGGCATCCCTGGAACGCTCTCGACGAGGCACAGACGCTAGAAAGCATCCCGGGGCCACGAGACTTCCTGGAACTTCCGAAGACTTCTTCGAATCCATCGGCCGCCTCGACTCAAGGGCCGTCGTGGTTACCTTCATGACGGCTCTTCCCGTCGGCTGCGCCGAGGAGGGGGAAGGAAGAGGGGTTTGCGCATCATGGTCCGAAGCATGTGCGCGGACACGCGGACAAGGGGGTCTAGGGATCGAGATGAAAGAAGAAGGGCGTCCATCACAGAGGTGTCATGGCTACGGCCATGACATCCACACACACACGCACTCTCACACACACACACACACACAAACACTGTTTAACTGTGGCGACTTCGCGCGCGGCGGCGAGGCGGAGCACATCAAATACGGCGGCCGAAACTTCAGCCGATGCGCGGGCGGGCCGGCTACAAGGGGGGAGCGGGGAATCACTGTGCCATCCGGGCGTGGATGGTGGGGAGAAGGATGAGCACACTGGCCGCCGCCCGAAGGAACATCCCACATGGGGGGCGCACCGCGGACGTGACGGAAACAAGGCGTGCAGAGACCGACCACGACGCCAGGCGGTGTCCTCAGGCGAGACGAAGACGGGTGGCGAAGTGCCACGGTACGCTACCGCCTGGCCTTCCTCCCCCAAAACACACACGCACACACGCACACACGCACACACACACATTCACCACACACACACACACACACACACGCACACACGCGCGCACACACGCACACACGCACGCACGCCTAGTCCTCGCCGCTCTCTTGGATGCTCCCGATCTCCCCAAGGCAGGTCGTGACCAGAAAACGTATCCGTATCAAAGACCTCGCGGGTCAGGAGCCTGGACAACGCACCCGTGGATGCGGAGCGTTTTTCGCGGATTGTGGAACGTATCCGTGCGACCTCGTATTCACGGGGTCGCGCACCAAAATCCAGATCGCGAGGGCGTAGACATGGACGCTGTGGCCACTCGTGAGCAAACTTGGCATACAAGACACGCGTCCTTAGGGAAACGCGTCCTGGATCCGCGGGGCTTCCCCATGGAGAAGCTGTGCATCCTGGAGTCGCTTGTTGACAGGACCTGGGGCCCGTAGAAGGAAGCAACAAACATCGACCAAAACTCAAGAAGACCCGTTTCCCTCAGGACCCGGTTCCTTCACGGCCATCGTGGGCAGAAGAGGGAAGGGGGAGGAGCAGGAGAGTGAAGGGGGAGGAGGAGGAGGAGGAGGAGGAGGAGGAGGAGGAGGAGGAGGAGGAGGAGGAGGAGGAAAAGGAGGAGGCCCACTCGCGCGCGGTCCTGCCGGTCCCAGCGGTCGGGCGGCAGGGAGTACTTCTTCCTGGTGGTGCTGGGAGCGGCCTCGTGCACCACCCCGGGAGCGGCCTCTTCGCGGGGAGGGGAGGGGAGGGGCGAGGATGAGCGACCCCGGCCTCCGAGGGTCGAGAACGAGAGGATCGTGAAGGAAAAGTTCTGAAGGAGGTAACTGAGCTCCTGGGAGGTTCAGGACAAAAACGACTACACAGGCTATGAACCATCACCATGGGGGCCACCAAGCCGGAGCAATTCACATGAAACTCAAAATGGCGCCCGATCGCGCAAGCCAAATCTAGCGGCACTCGGCGGTAGAATGCCGGTCGAGTACTTTTCGACCAAGGAGATACCAACACCGATGCTGAAGTCCACCTCTCAAAACCTGCATCCTAAAAAACGGGTCCTGGGGGATACGGGAACTGGCGAATTCTAGCCGTCCTCGGGCTCCTGGTGCCCTCCCCGGGCCCCGGGCGGTCAGAACACGGCTCGGCATAAAAAGGCTGTTCCCGGGGAGAGCCCCTGGGGGCAAGGACCCGCTTCTGCCACTACCCATTTCCTCCATGCTGTGTCGTCGAGGCCACGCTGAGAACGCGCGTGCTTTAGGGCATTACACGAAACGAAAACCCAATCAATGGATGGTTTGAAATGGGATCAATAAAGAGATCGATGAGGGGATCGACCAAGAACCCGGGAGCCTGGGAACCTGGAGCCCATCGAAATCGGCCCAGAACCAATAACCCAAACCTAGGAATCCAGAACCGGGAACCCGGGAACCCAGCCGGCCACCAAAATCGGTGGGAAACTTTCGCCAAATCTTTCAATTTCCGCTAGGAACCCTTCAATGCAAGCACAAGTTGGGGAATATTTGAATGAAGATGATGATCGATTGACCGACCGACCGACCGACCGACAGACGACGACGACAGCCGCCAGTGTAGGCCCGCCAAGCTGCGAGGCTCGAGGAGCGAGGTTCCACGGATCGACGTTCGAGCTGTCTCAGACCTTCTGGGGGCCGCTCGGGGAACCCAACGGCCACATCTTCGGGGATCTTCTGACCCGGGTCAGTCCAGACCCGGGCCAGTCAGGCCTTGCAAAATCCTGCAACATCCTGCAGGATCCTGCACCCAAGCCCGGGTCAGTGCGCCCCTGGCTCTACAAGATCCTGCAAGATCTGGCGATCTGACTGATACCCGTTTGCATCGACCCCCCGTGTCTTGAGGCCCGACCTCTGGGCCGCACGGGACTTCCGAGGACATCGGGTGTCCTCTCATCAGGGGAGAATCGATGGTCGAGGGTCAGGATTCGTGACCGCTTCTGGTCTTGTGGTCCTCCTGCCGAAGCCTCCAACTGGAGGTTTTGCGCCTTTGTGGGCGCCAGGGTCTCCAACGAGGGAGAGGATCAGTGATCCAGGTTCGACGATCGAGGTTGTTGGGCGCTGTGGGCATTTCCAGGCCGCCAACTGGAGCGTCTCGCCCACGCGCGGCCAGATCCGCCGCAAGGACGGGACAGGATGAGAAAAGGATGGTCTCACTAAGCAAACAAGTTCTTGATGGAAACGGGTTCTGGAATTGCTTTGCAACTTCGGGCCCCTGGGGCCAGCCCCAAGACTGGAAGCCCTGATGTCCAGGACCTGGTCCCTAAGGACCCCCTTCTCTCATGGGATATGATAGGGGAGGAAAAGGAAGGAGGAGCTCCCAGGGAAGAGAGGAGGAGGAGGCGAGGGAACGAAGAGAGCGTGGGGGAGAGTGCGGGAGAAGGGGAGAGGAGACAAGCTAGGTGCGCTCGCGTCATATCTGACGGCATACCCCTTCCCTCCCATCCCTTACCATAGCGTCTATCTCCTCTCTATTCGCACAGCCGGATGTCAAGCAGGACAATGATCGCAAGAGGGTGCGCGATGCATGGTAGGACACGGCATGGCATGGCGGAGAAGAGCGCCAGAGCGTAGCATGCCATAGCATGACGTGGCATTGCGCAGTGAAGCATGGCATCACAAAGCATCGTGACGCAAAACAGGCCACCGCACAGCGGCACAGAACGCAACACAGCACAACATGTCATGGCATGGCGCCAAATTCTTTGGAGGGTAAGACCACCCCCACGCCGCGACCCCGGCCGCAATCCGCTCAAGGCCGACTTCTGGACCCCTCGAGCACATTTTTTCATCCGTGACCACAGAGGGCGTTATGGGGGGAAGGGGGGCGAGGGGTGCATAACGCAACGCCCCCCATCCCCCCGCCGTGTGGTTCCGGCACCACAGCGCCTGTGCGCATCACAGCAAGTACCACAATGCGAAGCACACGTGCAGCACCACATTGTTCCCCACCCGACAAGTTGGTGTCGTTAGTTAGATTTTAAGAACGTCCCGTCCACCCTGCACACCGCGGCCGCCAAATCCCAAAGTCCTCGAGTGTCCCCGAGTCACTCTGCAACCCGCGGCCGCCAAATCCCCAGGCCCCCCGAATGTCCCCGAGAGTCCGGCCTCGCGCCACTCTGCACACCGCGGCCGCCAATTCCCCAGGTCCCCCGAGCGTCCCCTAGTCCCGCCTCGCGCCACTCTGCAACCCGCGACCGCCAAATCCCCAGGTCCCCCGAGTGTCCCCGAGTTCCGCCTCGCGCCACTCTGCAACCCGCGGCCGCCAGATCCCAAAATCACCCGAGTGTCCCCGAGTGTCCCGCCTCGCGCCGACACATCATATCACGACAGAGCGGCATCATACAATTGCAGAACAATGTGCAGCACAATCTTACAAGCTGTGACAGAGCAGGGCATAACACCACACCACCTAACAACACATGCCCGAACCTAGCATACCATACCATGAAAAAATAGATTGCAACAGTGCACACCGTGACAGCAGAGCCTACCATAGCACAGCATCACAACACATAGCAATTACATGCCACGACAAAGCAATCATACCACACTGGCACATCGCTAAACAGGACATACCAACACATAATGCTATACTTCCCCACACCAGATGGCAAACACTATCATAGCACAGACACATCATACCATGACAGAGCGCGGCATCAACCATAACAGCATAGTATACCATCGTATGCGATAACACCACATCATAACATTGCGCACCATTGCACAACATGGCAGAACAGGACATACAAGGACACATCGCAACAACGCACGCGATGACATCAAGGAGCATACAGGCTCAACATGACAACACGCATCATAACAAAACCGACAGGGCACACCACATCACCGCGTAAGAAAACAAAGCATAACCGTTCAACCAATTACATAGCATTTCATAGCATGGGACCTAACCAACACATTCAATAACATTGCAACACATACCATGACTGACCTCGGCATAACATAGTATATCATGCCAGAAACATACGCTAGACTGGCATCAGATCATGTCCTGGCAGAACAGAGCATGCCATAAAGAACCATCGAGCACAACATAACCTAACAACGCTTCTCATGACACAGCAGAGCATAGAAGAGTAGATCATCAGAGACCATAGCAGAGCGTACCATACCTATTTTACCATTGGTACCACGACGGCAACGAACGTCTCAAACATCGTAGGATTCACCATGCTGCGGAGGATACCAGAACATAGCACCGTGTAATGAGCAGAGCACAGGGCACGATGTGACCAGGATGCCATAACATAACTCATTTATTACTGATTCCCCTACGGCAAAGACTTTTTTTGTGTTTTCTCGCCGCCGCCGCTGCAGCCGAGCTGACGGCGTATGGAACAAAATGAGGACATGCCCCCATCATTCCACGCGCGCCCATTCGACAGGCGGCGCCTCTTCTGGCGCCAGCGAAGAGCGTAAGGAGAAATGGGGGGCGGAGGGAGGGAGGAGGCAGAGGGAGTCGGAGGGAAAGGAGGAGCGCCGAGCTTCTGCCCCAACTGCGAGGGCCGCATTCAACTTTGACTGGAGGACGTGCCGGTTTGAAAAACCGGGTACTATCCATCGAAAACGAAGTAGCGAATTCCCGTAAGAACGGGAAGCTGGACGGTGTCGGAGAATTGAAAGGAGTCCGAACTGCACACCAAAGCATCGCTCCTCCGAGCCCGCGGGGCGCGCGCAAACAACGCGCTCCCCGACCGTCGGCTCGAGGAGGAGCAAGATGAGGCACAATGAACATCGTTTAAACATCCCTATCCCCATGCTCCTCCTTCTCCATCTCTCTCTCACTCTTAACCCCCCCTCTCACACACGCTCTCTCTCTCTGTATATATATATGTATATATACACTCAAAACTCTTGCATCCCTACGGTGCGCACGGGGTCTGCGCCGCAGCACCAACTTTCTTCTACAACACCCCAGTCACGCTCAACAAAAAGGTCATGAAAGCGGGACAAAAAGCCCAAACACCTGAGACTTCGTGGCACGTGGAAGGATAATCGCTAGACGCCAATTGTCCCACGAGGCTTTGATTTACTATGAATGTACCGGGTTCTTGGATATGATACTCGTAACATGAGCACGTATTTGATGTGTACCAAGCCCATGGCGTTGTCCCCCCATGAAAGTATATAACCTGTGCAAGTCTCACGAATAACTTCATGGTAAACTGCTCGGTCGCCAAGGCAAGTTATGTTAAAGCTGAATGAGACGTTCTCGCCAGTGACATCTGTTTAGACGTAGCAGTCCAGCAAGCCTGGAACCTTCTTGAAATAAAAGCTGTGTGCAGAACTACCGGAGCATTATGAATCTGGGTATTCCATCCTGATATACACATTCACCGAAGGCGCCACGTCCGCATCGCCGTTGACGGTAGCGTCGGCTAGCGTGAAAGCGCATAAGATGGTGACGGATGAGAGGACAACCGCCGACGACATCGCAGCCATGTCACCGTGTTGGATTCAAAAGTGGGCTGTCACTTGTAACACTTGGATCCCCCGCGTGATGAACAGCACGCAGCGCGAAACACCAGCACTTGAGCCAAAATGGCTTGAGCCAAAATGGCTACGGACCCCCTACGGCAAAGAGCTTGACAGAACACCGCGTACTACAACTC